AACCCGAGACCCTTCGGTTAAAGGGCCGGTGCCATAACCACTGCACCAATGGTCTGGTTTAGGTGAAACCAATTATTTGTAAAATACCACTTTTCACTTCAACATGTGAAAATACTGCTTTCAAAAACGACCTTTTACATTATTTATTTACAATTTATTACAATCTATTACGATTACTTTATAAATTATTTAAATTATTTTCATTCATGTACCAAAATATTTTAAATAATTGTATACATTTAGGATGTGAGAAAAATGAGAGATAAATGGTGAATTCAAGAATTAATTGCGTGATTGAACATAAAAATTTATATTTTTTAATAGCATGGTATTTAGAAAATCTGCAATTTGGGATTTCTGAAACTAGGTTTATACTAAAAGCTTTTCAAGGTACAACCAATAAATTTTCCCAATATGTTTTCGAAAGCTTTTTTGCAATCCGTTTTAAATTTCGTTACGCAAAAGTATTGTTTCAAAAATTGTTGAAAGTATTTTTAAGTGTCCTATCATTTCTCTCATATTTTGTTCATAGTAAGTAATTCTTAAGAGTATGTGTAATATATGCGAATAATTTTTGTATTAATAAATATTTTGTATAATAAATATTTTTCAAACTGAAAATCTTTAAGGACGTTAAAAAAATGATTGCATAAATATTTATTCCCATTTGATTCCAAAAATTTTTTCCTGCACATTTTAGATAATTCAACGATTTCCCGACAAGAAAACCCTTTTACAAAAATTTTCATCTAATTCTTCTCATTATTTTATATTTTTTTCATAAAACTCTTCTCAGCATCAGCTATTTTAACATTTTATTTGTGCATCTGTTTTCTTATTTTTCTTATTATAATTTGCTTTGTTACTTTTCGAATTTTCTTACTTTATTTCGTTAATTGGTACCCATTGCTAATTTTCCCATCAAGTAAAATGGAAAATATCATTTTCACTTATTGTATTTGGAATCTTGTTTTCAAATATCCGGCACCCAAATATCGTTTTTTCTTGAATTTTCTTTTTTCTTTGAAATAACTGAAAAAGGTTTTTATACTCAAAACAGTAACTGGTATATGTTTGTTTTATTTGTATGTGTGTTTGGGTATATATATATATATATATATATATATATATATATATATATATATATATATATATATATATATATGTATATACTTATCAAGAAACTTAATTTTCTTCCAAATTCAAATTAAATACACTATTAATACGTTCAAGTATAACAATAAAAAAAAATATGGAAAGGGGAAAAAATTTAACAAGTTTTTCAAAGTTTTGTGGGTTAGCTTGAAGCCAAAAACTGTAAATGTGTGTATGAAGCGATATTGAACAGAAAAAACAATGAGTTTATTGCATAATGAGAGAATGTATAATAAAAATGAAAATGATTTCTTTTTTTTCTTTTGAGCAAATCTTTCAAATAACTATACAAAAGGTTTACATATAAATGTTCAACTCACTTTCTTTCTTTGGTTTTTTTTCGATTTAAAGTGATGAACAGTGATTGAGAGCAAACATCTCAAAGCACAACACAAAAATGAGTTTTGAGTATTAAATAAATACTTAACGGTATAAAATATATAACTATACACATAAATGTTTTGTGTAGGTATAAATGATAAAAAAGGGGTCTCTGAAATGATCGGATTTAAATGAAATTATCTGGGATTACGCAAAAAATTAGTTCGACTATGAAAAAAGAATTTTTAAGTATATAAATATTTTTTTTTATAATTTTTTCATCTACTTTGTGTCGAAAAGGATAAGTAAAATATTTTTTTTATTTTTTAATGTTAGTTTTTTTATTGTATGTATTAAAAATAATATTTTTAACCAACAGAAAACGATTTTCAATAATCAGCTCTAAAAAAAAGTATTCGACTTTTTGAGGTGAAAATTGTTTTATTATTAATCAAAATTTTTAAAAAGGGTTAATGCAAGCTATGAACGGTTATAGACGCACACACATATATATTTTATGTTTATAATTTTACTTGCAACAGGGTTGCCATTTTCTATTGCTTAAACAAGTCAATTTTAATTAAAATTTACGTGCAAAAGCATTACTATATACATTACTTTTGCATGGATTACTTTTGCAAATTCTATAAAATCGTAGCAAGAGCTAAAATTCCTAGGTTATTGCTGTTCTGCAAATTTGTATAGTGTAAATTACTTAAAACTATTTATGTTTTTCTTTCTCTCATACAGAACCTTCCACAGTTATTAAATTTCAATTTATAGAATATATTGTCAAATGATGTGCGCTATATAAAGAAACATTATTGTATTCCTATTACTGTTCAAATTATGGGATGCAGTAATTTCATGCGAATAGAATTGGTCGGAATAGCTGAGTCAATTATTTCTAATTGCATTTAAAGAAAAAAAATGTATACTCAGTTGAAAGTTCGAAATTGAAACTCATTATAGTAATTTATAGTACATATGCGTTTAACCGATAGTAAATTTCGTAATAAACTACTTGCGCATTTAATGACCGAATGTGAAAATCTTTACTTACCAAAAAATAATTACATAATATAGAATCAGCTTTTTTCCAAATCTGTAAGCAGATTCTTTAAGTACTCATAAAGATCGATCTGTTTCTTTTTCTTGATTGAACAATTTTGTTTTCTGTATGAATGTACATTTATTAAAGTTAAATTTCCATATAGCTATTGATAGACGAGAAGGTGCTCATAGATCAGGCGAACTATTTGCAATTTTTCTTTACTTTATATTTAAAATGCGTTCAATTGCCGAACAAAATTCGAATGTAAACAACATATAAAATATACCTACTCGTAACATGCTGACTTAAATACATATGCATATATACTTTAACACACAAACTTAATAAACTTCTTAAGGTCGTTCTGCCACCCCAAATTACAGTACCCGCACAACACGTCATACATATATTACTTGCATATAGAAGGCATTCATATTTATATTTCTGACTATAATTTAATACTGTAATAGTGTAATGAGTACATTAGAACTTAAAACTGTACTCCTGCAGTGGTCTGTTAAAATGGTAACATTGATAATACATATATGCATTCACTCTTTGTTTGTAAGTACATACATACATACATACAATTTGTTAAAAATTTTAGTTTCATTAGGCTTTGCTATTATTGATGATTTTATGATAAATTCAAATTTGCCAAATTAAAATTAAAATTGTTTTTAAAGTTAGATATTTTTAGGTGTCATATTTTTATATAAATTTATAGCTATATTTTTATGTATATGGTTATAAATTTATACTTTCAAACGTAAAAGCTATACATTTAACTCTACATGTTTGTATAGATGCATGTATGAAACGATAACGTGGTATTCATGACCTTTGACGGATGAATTATTTTGTATTAAACCGATGACACGAAGATGGAAATTTTTCAAGTGCTAAAAGGATAAATTCTGTAAAGCTATAAAAAAATAACAAATCTATTTGTCAAAATGGGGTGAAAATATTTTCATTTATTTTTAAAAGTGACAATTTTACTTTTTGCACGTTTTTGTTTTATTTACTGATGCCATTCTTGTTATATACTTGAATTAAGAATTTGTTTTTGTTATTATTTTTCTGAAGTATTGAAACACAAGCAGACATTAAAAATAAGAAGAAGAATTTTTCAATTGCTTTCCTTCCAAATTTGATGTTCTTATGGCTTTGGAGTAATTCAAGCGGCACTTGTCAAAATAAAAGAATAATCCTTATTATTGAAGGATTTGACATTTTTTTCTATACATATTCTCGTTTCGATCTTAAAGATCCCCATATTATTTTTAATAAATTAAATGTTCATACATATGTACGTACATGTATACGTGTCTCATTAAAGGGTCAGTTCCAAGATCCATGTATATTTAGTATTAGAGTTGTAGAATTATAATATTATAACGCGCATAATATTAACAGAATTTGTGTGTAATTTTTATATACAGAGGACAAAAACAGAAGAGAATTTACACAGCTGTTCATAGATTAGGTTTTCAAAAATTTAAAAAAGAATAACAAAAAGCAAATAAATAAAATGCTATTATTTGATGCTTGACAATTAATATTAAGGACTTTGAATGACGTAATTTTAAATTAATTTATTGTACTTAATATAATAATGTGAAAAATAAAATAATGAACAAAAAGATGTTAAACCAATTTGTTCGACAAAAATCTTCACAAAAATAATAAAGAATTTTTATGCATTTATTGGAAAGCGATTTAAAGATAAATATTAGAAAGTCTAACCTTCCTTAAATTGCACATTGTAAAAACAAATATTTTCCGTGCGAATATTCATATATAACAAATAAACCTTTGAACAATATTATAAATTTTAAAATGAAAATATACAATTTTTTATATATAGTAAAAACACAAAAATTAAAAAGTTTTGGTTGATTAGTTCGGAGTTATTTTTTTGGAAAAGCGTAAAAAATTTGGTATTATACTTTCGAATAGAGTTTAAACGCAATATCAAAGAAATTCTCATGATAAAGAGACTATATTTATACATTATTCCATTGATAAAGAGACTATAAGAGAGAATAATATGCAAACCTAACTTATCTTAATTTTGACTTAACATACAAATATTTGCGACAAAAAAAATTTTTCTTGGGTATCGAACGGGCCAAAATTTAAGAAATTTTGTAATAATCCCCTCCATTTATGATAACCTTATATCGGAAAAAATAATTTTTAATAATTTTGTGATATCCACAGCAATACACTTGATACAATGAAACACTTTACATTTAACTGTTTACGTATAGACAGCACCAGGGACATACATATATTTAATTTCACCTTGGTCGGAAAAAAATAATAATTTAGTAATTAACAACTAATTCCTTATTATATTACTAAAACAAAAAAATCCTTTCAAAAGCTTTTATTTGAAATCCATGAATGAAAAAAAATATATGTACATTTCTTTTGTTTAAAAATCTAATAAATTTATTTGCAGGCGACAGACTTCTAGATATTCCGTGTAAAGTTTGCGGTGATCGTAGCTCTGGAAAGCATTACGGAATTTATAGTTGCGATGGTAAGATTACGTCATATCAAAGCTATTTAATAAAAATTCTCAAGAAAAATATTATAAAAGTGCAATAATTTTAACAATTAATAACGAAGTTAATATAGCTTTAAATACATACTCATACTGTTTTATCAAATAAAAATTGTTGTGTTTCAAAACAGTTAACAGACCTTCATATTAAAAATAGTTTTAGTTTGTAAAAGCATTCGAACTACATGCGGGTTACCCATCGTTTTATCGCAATTTTTTCTTTGTAGGTTGTTCTGGTTTCTTTAAACGGAGTATTCATCGTAATCGTATATACACCTGTAAAGCGACGGGTGATTTAAAAGGTAGATGCCCTGTCGATAAAACACACAGAAATCAATGTCGGGCCTGTCGTTTAGAGAAATGCTTCCAATCAGCAATGAATCGCGATGGTAAGTCAAAATATTGTTTATACTTAATCTTACATATAACAATTTTTTAAAATTAACAACAACAAATTTCTCAAGAGAAATTTATAAAAACAACCATAAGTTTTATTTACGCAATCAAAACCCAAATTATTACAATATCTTAAATTTCAAAAAAAAATATTTTCACCATTTTGTTTTTCCTCCATAACCGATAAACTTTTCATACTTTAACATCTAGTGTAGAGGCACAAAAATTTATTTCGCAGAACACCAATACAAAATGTTGTTATTCTTACTAGCAATTTTTATGTTTATTCTCGAAATACCATCGTATAAGAACAACTAACAGAAAAAAAAAGTCAGAAGGAAAATAAATTTGAAAAAAAAAACAATTTGGACAAATTGACAAAAAAAGGATTGTCTTTAACACTTTTTATTTTGTAAATTTTTGTATTATGAAAATACAATATTATTGTGATAAAAAAAACCTAAACTATCCCATTTAATTCTTGTTGAAATGTATAAAATATGCATTTTTCGCATTTTTTTTGACAAAAATATGACAGGTAAAGGAAAATGTTGCATGGGTTAATTTTAAATCTCATCGTAGTGAATCGAAAAAAAAAAACTACAAAAAGTTTTTGAGTTTTTTTTTGAGAAGTTTTAAATTTTTGAAACAATTTCAAAACAGGAACAAAAATTCTGACTTTGCTTAGCTGTGTCTCGAAAACTATGACTCAAATCAAATTAATTGTCAGACCAAAAATAAAGAACAATCAATCAACATAGATTTATCATTGGGAACTGGTAATACAAAGTGTATGTGCACCCTCCACCCTCCAAAACATACAATTTTTTGCTGGGAAGTTGATTAAAAAATAATCTCTGAAATTATTTGCCATTTTATAAGAAATACCCTGTATAGGAGTTTCTTATTATAGCCACTATTTACCAATCGCATTTCATACATTAAGAGATATGTATTAAAACCTGTCGACCTTTAAACGAAAATAAACTTAAAAGTGCAACATAACAAAAATTTGTAGGCATGTGTCCTTTTATTTGCGGGTCTCTATACGTATACACTAATGAAAGAACCAGAATAACTTATGAAATTTTCTGGAAATTCTGGTACCAGAAAGTGAACCTTTCCAAGGATTTAATTTTTTTTGGGGTATAATAAGGAAGTTTAGGAATTTTCTTGGAATGTGAAGTAAGAATTTGCAAAATCATGTAAAACATAAATTTTCATTTAGCTTCGACTGATAGGAATAGTATAGCATTCGCAAAATATATAATGCGATCGGTTATAAATTAGATCCGAAAATAGCTTATCAAATATATTATGCATACATCTATATATACTGTATGACCCTTTGTTCTGAATACCAAAGAAAGTTCTCATCGCAAGTGGGCAGAGTTCAAAAGGGTTATAAATTTATTGCTACATCTTTATAAACGTATAATTAAAATTCGTGTGCCGGTGATATAGGTATATACATGCATCGCATTTTTATACTCGTGCGAACCTATGTTCGAAGGGTATACTAAATTAGCCTTACCGTTTGTAACGCTAAGAAATAACGGCCTGAGATGTAGATTTAAGTGTATGTTTTTGATCAGCGACGAATTCTGAGTAGATTTAGCTTTGTCTGTCTGTCCATCCGTCCGTCGCAACGATAACTCAAAAACTAATTGAGCTAAGTTCACAAATGCTATCTTATAGTAAATGCCAGAACCCTATTTAAATTGGAAATTATCGGGGTACGGGTTCGGGTAGCTTCCCCACTACTTCAAAATTTATTTGACTGTATCTCAGAAACTATAAAAGCTGTGATATTTAAATTTCATACAAGCGAGTATATTAGTAGGACCAATGTGTTTGATAAAAGTCGTTGAAAACGCTTGGTTCCTTCTGGTAGGTGCCATACAACTTCAATAGTAGTTTGGTCATATCTTAGAAAATTTTGAAAACACAGTACTGAAATTTTGCATAAATTAATATGGTAATACGACAACTTAAAGTCATAGTCTGTCCTATAGTCAACTATGGCATATTTATTCGCACGCATAGCATAACAAATTCGTACGGGTATCACAGAGTTGACACGTTCAACTCTATCTTTTCTCGTTTATATTACTTTTATCAATTTGTATATATGAATGAATGTTCGCCCATGTGTATTTAAATTTAACCTAATCAGAATTAAAAAAGACTTTACAAAAAGAACCAAAAAAAAAACAAATAAATACTAAAGGTGTGAGAAATATCACTAAATTGACATACAAAAAGATTAAAATCGACTGAACATGACATTGCAGTTAGTGTGCTATGATATCCTTGTTATTTTGATGCTTTCCTATTAACTATGTGTGTGTACGTACATATGTAAATATCTATATGAATTTAATAGTTACATTTGACAAGCTGCAATGTACTATGTTTTAAAATATCTATTTCTCATGCATTTTGAATTTTATTTCATGTACATACATTTAAAATAAACATTATTTTGTACATAAATAAAAACTGTAAAAGATAATTTAATTCATTAATTTTGTTGAAAATGAATAGAATTACGTTATTATATAGCAATCATAACAAAATTCATACCTACATTACATTTATATGCATATACAAGTGAATAGGTATATGCAATTGTACGAAAATAACAAAATATAACTTGATGACATAAAATTCTTTTCAAATGCAATATACTTATAGATATGTACGAGTACATATATTTTTTTATAAGCAGGGTGATTTCGATAAAATTGAAAATATAATGTATACACATAGATACATATAATAATGATGTTATTAATAAGTGAAAATTACAAAATGTTACCACACATGTTTAAAGGATGATGATTTAGTTATATATTATAGAAAGTATGTATGTATATATGTAAGTATAAACATGTACGTATTTGCATGCATATACTTACGTTTGCATGCGTAATTTACACTAAACAGTATAATTATGTACGAATGAGTTAGTATTGAACAAAAAGAAATAAATTTATTAAAATTTTTGCAAAACTACTTTAGGTTTTAAAGTGTTTCAAAATCTTGAAGTTAAAATGAAATTCATTGACACTTACTTAAAAGCTCATCTACCTAAAATTTACAAATAAAACACTTATTTAAACAGAAAAAAGCAAAAAAAAATCCGCTTTTTCATAAATTACGAAAATTAAAAAACAAAAAAAACGCACAACGGTAAATGATGACATAGATCACCAGTCTTGAAATTGGATTTTTGCTTGATATTGAAAGCTTTAGTCGTTTAAAAAATAAACTTTTAATCTTAGACTGAATAAGTAAAAATTATGTTAAAATGATGAAAATTAGTTATACTGTTACATTATGACTACATCTGCAGAGAAAAAACTTCACAAGATTTTTTAGTACTTTTCCAAAAAAAAATTGAAAAAAACTGCTTCTTAGTTTCACTCCGCCCGTCTGTCTGTGTGTCTGTTTATGTAACCCCTACACTTGAAGATAAAAAGCTGAAATTTTGTATGTACATAGATCTTTACTGGAAACTAATTTTCGCAGAACGAAATTTTTACTTATCTTCCCCCTAAAAGTTATACCACTCCAAAACCCTAAGAATACCATTTTTCAACTATTTATTGTAGTAGAATCGTATGCATTTTTCAAATTTTGCAAACGCAGACTATACTTGGTCTTAATAAAAACAAAATGGCCGTTAAAATTTACCGTTATCCAAAATCCGTTGTTTCCAAATTTTTGACGTAGTTTTTCTCCTAAACCCCAGATTGGAATTTTAACAACTTTCAGACACTAATAAACGGCTTATTTTGTTATAAGAAAATTTTTTCACCTCCACCCTCCCTCAAGTTACTGCTACAACTCCCTTTAAGTTATTGCCTCTCGAAATTTGTAAAATTTGAATATTTGGCACCCTATATTTGGGAAATCGCAAGCTTTTTTAACGGTAAATTCCACTTCATTAAAAAATTTATAATTATTTTCTTTAAATTAATTTTTGCTTTATTTCTGACTGCATAAATCGTTCATCCTAAATATATGCAATCCTAGAAATAGTTTCGTATATGAATGAAAATAATTTAAATAGTGTAGTTGGTGTACGTAGAATGTATGCATTTAATTTTCAATTGTTGAAATGAAAAGTGCTGCAATACAAACCATTGGTTTGACCCAACTTTTTAAATTATATCTAATTGGAAAAGATCTACAAGATACAGTTATTCTACATAAAGCCTGAACCGCAAAAATATTGTGATACGTATTTTTGAAAACTAATATCTTTAATATTTTATAGGCTAAACTATTGTCAAAACTAAAAGTATTGTCACATTTCCGAAAACGGAGTGAAAAAAATTTTGTTATAAAGTTTACACCCAACATTTAATTGTATAACTTATAATTAAAATGCGATAATTTAATCTTCCGAATTTCTGCCTTCTGATCAGTTTAAAAAGGGAAAATTTTATTATAAAAACATACTGTTTCAATTTCTGTTTATTTCAAAAATGAAATAATTTGCAAAATTTTGCTTTTTTGGTTTCAAATAGTGAACTTACAATTTTATTTACATCTCCAAAAAATATTTTTTTAAATATACGAGTAATATTTTAATTTATTTATATATAATACACAAATCTTCTATAACCCGATTTAGAATTATACATATTTAAGTAATATCAATTTTCATATACATTTATTTATATGTGTATATCAAATTTAGATCAAAGAAAAACCTCATCAATAAAAGACATATAATACATGGATATATAATGGAAACCTTTATTTTGAAATAATCTTTTCTTTTTAAAAAAAATATTTTTCAAGTCAAATATGAAATTTTGTGGAAAAGTTCGTAGCTGTAATAGATGCTTAAATCAAACAAATAAATAAATATGTAAATATAAAATGTTATTTTTAGTAATGGCAAAATAACCTTCTAACCTTTATTCTGGTAATAAACTTCTTTATTAAAGAAGCTGGCATGTAGCATGTGTAAATTATC